CACGGGCCCCCGCCAGGCCTGGCGGGCGTGGGCGGGGTCTCGGGCCTCGGGGGCGGGGATTCGGGAGGCCCCGCCCTACGCGCGCCGAGGTTCCCCGGTGGCGGGTCTTCGGCGCTCTCCAGCGTGCCCGAAGTGTCACCGCGGGCACGCCGCTTTGCTTTTCATTCTTTGGCACTTCTCTAAAGGGAGAGAGCAGGCCATCAGGGGGACTCTGCGATCGCCTCCACCTCGGATCACCAGCCTCCTGCACGTGCACCGCAGGCGCCTTCGCGATCCATTATTAAACAATGCGAAGAATCTTCTTTGGTGCGCTGTTTAGGGCTTTTCCCCCTTTCTCTTTGTAGTGTAGCGAATAGTTTTTATCGCGTTAACTCCAGCCCCTTCACATCCATCTTCACCATCCTTCGTCACTGCGTTCTGCTCTTCGGTTTCCTCGCCTCCAGATTCCTGCACACGCAGTGCAATTTCACCGCCACGGTCGTGATTATCTTCCTGGCTATGTTACTTTCTGTACTTTGAGCGTCCCAGTATAATAGGCAGTTCCCCGGATGCTGCATATTTAATAGGGTTCCCTTTTCCTTACCAAAAAAATCCAGGTAGAATAGGATTAAAGAGTTTTACAAATTTGATTACCAGCAAAATAGGTACAGAAAATTCAATACGATTGTCAGATCCCTGGACAAATAAACAACCCACCTAGATTTGAAGAAGAAACAAAAGACACCATTGAAATGTAACCATTTTTACCTACACTAACATTGAGATGCGCTTACCAGCAGGGATAGGAAGCAGGTAGGATGTAATTTGGATATTATTTGTATCTGATCCAAGTTTTTCATACTCGTGAAAGGAAAATATCACGGTCATAATGGATAAGTGGTAAAAATGATGACTCATTTCAGGATAATATGCAAATTAAAATTATCATCTATGTCTATTAAATGAACAAAATTAACAGTAATAGTAATAGCAACCTGTATTGAAACCTGGCATATTCACTTATCCAGGTTGGCTGGTGGCACGACTTGGAGATTTGAAAAGAGAGTCTGCAAACTTAGTGATTTGAATAGATGACCTAATTTCCTGCTCCTACTTTTGTTACTTCATAAAATGGAGGAAGTGATACCTACATCCTGGCTTTGTTGCAAAGATTAGATTTAACCATAGATGTAAAACTGACCCTTGGTATATATGCCTGTTTTTCCTATTCACACCCCCACTGGGGACATTTTGAGTCAGTACAATCCTTTTGAGGAGCAATCTGGTGAGGCATTAAGAATTTGGAAGCTGTGACCTGGAGATTTACCTGCAATGGAAGAAACAAACAAGGGAAGAAAAGTCTTATACAGGCACAGAGTCTGAAAGCAGACTGATCTAAAATTAGAAGCAACTGAGAAAAAACCTAAAAGTATGACAGCACAGCAATAGCTAAGAAAATCCGACATATTAGCTGAGAGGAACTCTATAACCATCAAAAATCACGATTTTGGAGCCGGTGATAGACGAAGGAATTTCAGACAGTTTGTGGTGAGCCAGTACATGGCATGGTAGTCAAGGTGGCTGGATCCCACATGGCCAACTACTCAGCTCAAGGCCTGGACCCAGCAGTTTGAGAAACATGTTGGGCATATGTGCATGTAACCCCAAAATCTCAAAGAAAAGGGAGAAATGGAGAAGGGATTGTGGCATGACCACTCCCCATGGAGAGCGTGTGTTGCCATCTCACTTTCCTCCTCTGTCTGTCTCTCTCTCTCTCTCTCTCCAGCAAGCACACTCACTTGCTGGCAAAATTTTAAAAAGAAAAGTTAATGAAAAACTGAAATTAAAGTACGAGTTTCTCTAGGTACAAAAGATGGAAACTCTTACATAATTTCTTTCATAATATGCATTTTCCATGAACTTTTTGAAGATTTCTTGTATAAAGAAAAACTGTTAAATCAAAGTTCAACTTACTGAACTGTAGCTATTTAATCATATGTGAATGCATGCATGAACAATCTGAAAGGAAAAGCACAGAAAAATCCAAGTTTTAGGGATCAACAGTTGGCATAATGGCTATTGTCACTAGACTCCCATGTAGTCAACCGCAGTTCAAGTCCTGGACCCGGTGGCTTAAACTCACACCAGATGCATGTGCGTGCATGCCCAAGATCCCAAGAGGAGAATAGAGGAGTAGGGATTGTGGCATGGCCATTCCCCCCGGGAGGTGATTTCTCGCTTTCTGTCTCTCTGTCTCTGTCTTTCTGGCGATCACACACGCCCTATAACAAAAACCTCTCCAAAAGTAAATAAATAAATAAATAAATAAAGAGAAAGAAAGAAAGTTTTAATGGAAGAAATTATAGGTGATCTTCATTTTTTTTTTCTTGCTAAGGTATTACCTTTACTAAATAATGTCATTTTTAAAAATAACTCACAGTTTTCCATTTTTAAAATGAAACAGGCTCACAGTTTTCTGTGTGTGAGAAAAAGAGAAAAAGATTGTTAGCACGCTTGCTTCCTAGAATAAAACGTTTTTAGCTGACCTTATTTTTTCAGTACTGTTCCACTTTTTCTTCTTGAGTAGATCTATGAGTGATTTAGTTAGTGCATGTAGCATTATGTGGGGTTTTTTTTGCCAGAAATATGCTTTTGAATATAACAGCTTATCAATGATCGCCATGCTTAGGCAGGTTGTAAAATGAACTAAAGAAAGAACAAAATATATATATATAAATGGAATATGTTGTTGTACATCATTTTTATATTTTTTAGATTAATTTTACATTTTACATACATCACGATGTACGCTATATATATGTGTGTGAATATGTATATTTGAACAGAGAACTTTACATTTTTTTTTGCCTCGTAAATGTTTCATCCCTTTGCACCTCATGCCCACCCTCTACTACCCACTCTCTACCATCCTCTCCCCTGCCTTACAGTCTCTGGTATTTACACTTATCCTCTTTACTATCATATTATTTTTTTGTAGAGAATTTTACTGTAGGATATGTGCCAAAGAGAAAGTGAGAAATCACCCCTGAGGGGGAATAGCCATGCCGCAATCCCTTCTTCATTCTCCTTTCAGGATTTTCGATACATACACATATGCCTGGAGTGATTTTCAAACCACCGG